CAGCAAAATGAACAAAACATTATAGATTTTAAAAAGCAAATCGAAGAACTTAATACAGCTTTAAAGTCTCTGGATACAAACGTGGATAAATTATTTGAGGACGTCAAAAAAAACAAATCCGCAATCAATGATGTGGAGAAAAATATATTAAAAGTGATTACAGTGGCTGCTGGTGCTAGTACTCACTCTTCCACCACACCATAATCATGAAATACACCAAGGAAAAAATTAAACTTGTTAATGAACTTCATAGACCTATAAGAAAAAATTTTTTGATGACCTTTGGCAATCAGACTTAGGGCAGATGGACATGTATGCATCAAATAATAAAAATTTTAAGTTCATATTGATTGTTATTGACTGTTTTTCAAAATATTTATGGGCTAAGCCATTAAAAAATAAATCTGGGGAAGAAGTTACAAAACCTTTTAATTTAATATTGAAAGAAAGATGTCCACAAAACTTACAGACTGATCAGGGCAAGGAATTTTTTAATAGTAAGTTTAATGAACTTATGCAAAAATATTCAATAAATCACTATAATACATTTAGTTGTAAAAAAGCTGCAATCGCTGAGCGTGTTATAAGGACTATAAAAGAACGTCTATTTAAATACTTTAGTTTAAATGGGTCATATAAATGGGTTGATATATTGCCACAAATTGTTTCAAATTATAATAATACAAAACATAGAACAATTAATATGAAACCAATTGATGTTTGTAAAGAAAATGAAAAAAAAGTTTTAAAGTTTGCATTTACACATTTAAAATTAGCAACCAAACCTAAAAAGTTTTTCATTGGTGATATAGTGAGAATAAGTAAAGCAAAACATGTTTTTGATAAAGGATATACTCCCAATTGGACTACAGAATTGTTTAAAATTGTAAAAGTAAAAATTACAAACCCCACCACATACATTTTGGAAGATTTAAATGGCAGACCCATTAGTGGAGCATTTTATGAGGATGAGTTACAAAAAACAATGCAGCCTGATATTTACCTGGTGGAAAAAGTTTTACATAAACGTGGTAACAAAGTCTTCGTGAAATGGTTGGGCTTCGATGATTCACATAATAGTTATATTAATAAAACAGACTCTTTTTGATCACCCCACTCTTTTCCAGTTTCTCACCACAAAATCAAAATTTAATTTAGTTTAAAAAGTAAAGTAAAGCAGTGCACACATAAAATGTGTGCAGATTTTGAAGGTTATGATTCCAATCTAAATGCAGTGTTTAATAGATATGAAGAAGCTATTAAAGCTGAAAAACGATTAATTTACACAACGACTTATGATTTCCAATTATTCTCGCTGGAATGTGGGCTTAGTGGTGCAAGGGATTTTTTGCCAACAGTAAGAATGGTTAACAAAGTTACTGGCGAACATCTCTCTTTTATATATGGTGAATGGGTTGGTGTAATTGAATCACTCCAAAAACTTCTGGATGCACATCGCACTGATGAAATTCAGCTTTGGAGGAACATGAAGATTGGATTAAATATTGATGGCAATAATAAAATTTTTAAAATATCAGATGATTGTACCATTTTGTATTTTATGCTAAATGATGTTTTTGAAATTCTTAAATTAAAAAAGTTAATTTTAAAAAAACTTGAAATGTTAAATAATTTAAATTTTAATTATTATTATCATAATCTATTAAAAAGCACTTATGAAGCGATGAAAACTGAACTTAGTTTTTATCCTCCATCCCTTCATGCTGTGCTAGACGTTCTGTCATTCCTATGTTCTTGCGGCACTAGTTATTGTTTTTTAGAATGCTTATACTATTTTGATATGAAAATGTCAAATGATTTAGAAAAATATACTGATTTTTAAACTTACCCTTGAGTTTTAATGATGATTGTTGTTAATAAAAACACAATAATTTAAAATAAACAAAATATATTTATTAATATTATAAATAATTATTACATAATATTATTAATCTTGAAGTGCCCATGAGGTAAAGTATCCGTTGAATTTGATAATAAATGCCTTTTATCATCATATGGACTTAAACCAATTTTACTCTGCTCAATACTAAACACATTATGCGCATTTGATTTAATTGTTCGCTGCTTTATTATTTTAACAACACTCTCTCGTAAACATTTAAGATAGTCATTAAATGTGAGGTTTTCAACAACAGAATATTTAACCCCCTTTGATTTTTTTATACATTTATTATTAATAACTTTATATGTATACATTTTTGAGCGCAACCCCACGAAATGTGTCATGATTAGACCATTCAGTTCATCCTTCATTAGACCAGGAACTTTTTTATTTAGCAAAGGGATATTTAACTCAATATCCTTGGGATACTCACTGGTATCAAACAAGTGAATATCCTTATGGATAATTTCATTATATACATCATCACAGAATATTTCATAAATTAGACTGTCAGTATCTGTATACAATAATTTTACATTATGATTTTTTAGCATATAGTCGTAATGAAAGCTAAATACGCATGTTTTTGAAATATCCAATATTGCCATGCCTATATATAAAGGTTTATTAAAGTATAAATCTGTTTTATTAAGTTCAATAGCCATAAGGTTTTCGTGAAAAATGGTTCGATTATTTGGACTTGCAATTAAATTTTTGGCTCCAAATCTACCCTCCCATTTTTTTACTAATTTAACAATTCGATGCTTTCAAATATTTTCCATGGTCTTGCCAAAAATAGCGTTTATCATTAGTTTAAATAATTTTTTTCGAACTCATTTTTAGAATTTTGTCGTAAATTTGTTTTCAAATCAATATATGCTTTGAGCCAAGGTGATTGATTGAATTTTAATACCCGATGAATTTTACTTAAAACAAGCCCATGTTTCAGGGCCTGCTTTAAATTTCTATAGTGAATTATGTATTTTGATTTGTTATTTAAAGTTGTCATAAGTTTTGGTAATTTTGAATTTGGTGGTTTTTGATGTTCCGGGCAGAGGGGTAAGTCTCTGTGTAAATCATGTAAATACTGTGGATACTCAAGGTCCACCTCTAGGATATACCCTTCAGGAGCATCATCCGGAATTTGGGTGACATCTATATTTGGATTGTCAATCCATTCAAACCCTCCATAGGGTAGATATTGCGACATAGCCCAACCATAGAGGTTATTGACATCCAGGTAGAGTAAATAATTTGATGGTTTGGAACCATCAAATGCATCACCCATATATTTGTTATTAGCCTCCGCATACCGATTGCAACATTGACTTACCCCACCGCGAATACCTTGCTCAATGAATAACAGCATATCTACAGATTGTATGGTATCGAGCCTACAATTTGTATATTTTAGCATGCAGTCCCACGTATATCCAGGTAATGTATAATAATGAGCAGGATCGAGTTGATATGTTTTAAGACAACTTTCACGAAATTGTTCAAAAACATCAGCAATATATCCGTTTTTAAATATAAATCTGAATACTTTCCCAAATCTTTAATATCAAAAACATTCCACACCTTAAGGGCATGCAAATAATCATCAGCACTAATTTTAGAATCATTTAATTTATTGTAAAAGTTTTCTTTAGGTGGCAATTTAGTGCATTTTAATTTTTCCTCGGAATCAATAAAATCATATGGAAACACCCCCTTGCGTTCTAATAATTTAATTTTTCATTTGGTAAATTTTTGAATTCGCTGTTTAGAATTGGATATTCGGATAAATATGATGATAACTTATCTAAAGAAGAAGCCATAAACCGAAATGAATCTATAAATCGAAATTGAATTTTTGTATCTTTATCAAACAACGTAAAAGAAATGTATTTTTCCTTATTTATTGGTAATAATGTAATGTTACCATATTTTGAAATATCTTTACTTACAAAATGGCTATCATATCCAGAAAAATTGTGAAAAACTATTGGACTACAAATTTTTTATTATAATTTAAATTGCATACTTGATGTGCAAACCCCCTAAATTTTGAACTAAAGTGGCAATGATCTTGAACTATTATATCACCCTGTTTAAATTTTATTTCACAAATATGACATGATTCTGTATGGTCTTTTAAATTTATATGCTCCCTTAAAGGTTGAATATTAAGCATTTTGGACTGTATTAATTTAGATATGTCATTTATTTCTCCTGCGAACCATTGCATGCAATCTAAACCGCGATAACTTTTAAAGTAGGATAAGTTATCATCATAGCTACATTTAAAATAATACCCCACACTAAAGGCTTTATGTTCTTGATATTTAAAAGACTTTGTAAAATTATCATCATTAACTGGTGCAAGAATTGATTCCATATCAGCGTAAAGAATAAACGGTGCTGGAATTTTATTTTTAAAGTTTTTAAACCCTATTGATTTTTCCTCCGGAAAAGATATTTTACAATTATTTAACTTAATACAATATTCTTCATGCTCATTTAATTTAATTTGGCTAGAAAAATAATTTAGACAACGATCGCAAATAAATATTTTACCATTATGTTTTGATTGCTGATCTGAAAGTAACCTGGATAAATCCTTAATCCACACATAATGAAATTTAATATCGCAATCCTCCTCATCATTATCACCATCTTTTGGATTAGAGTCCCACTCTTTGGGAAAGTATTTATTTTGAATTAATAATAAATTTACATGTTTATCTAGTTTGTTTTTGGTAAGTCTAGTTGGTACAGTTTTAAAATAGGAACCGACATATGTTACAATATATTCCAAAGTGTAAACGTTAATCGAGATTTTATTTAATTTTTCAAATTTTGATATATCTTTAATTGTCATGGGGAAGTTGATATTTGTAAAATTTAACACATTCCTAAAATCTTTATAGGATGTTGTTCTATCCGGATGCTTTGTATAATGAACAGGGTAAAGGGCTGATAAAACTGCCCATTCGAAGCATTTATCATCATTATAGTTTTTAACATTTACGCAAGCCCGTTTTTTTTCAATTTCCTTAGGTAGTCTAATAAACGATGACCCGTTACCCATTTCAACTTTATTTATATTGATTTCTCAACTTAAAACTTTTTTTAATGCCCACCCAGAGTCTTTTTCAGCAAATTCCTCCATTTTATTTAAAATTTTATCAATAACATTATCATTAAACCAATTTTTAAAATTTGTACCCACATCTATAGTTGCATTTTTTGTATTAAAATACTTAACATCAACAACTTCTTCATTATTTATATTTAGCTTTAAAAATTCCCCTCCAAAACATGTGTTGACTTTAATTAAAGAAAACTTTTTTAAGATATTTTTTATTCTGGCTTGAAACAAAAAAAAAGCATCATTCAAAAACCAAAGGGGATCTAGATGCAAAATATTTATTATAATGCCAGTGCGAACACGAGACTGAAAGGCTGTTGTTAAATCCTCCCATTTAATTCTATCACTACGTTTATTTTTTAACCCTCCACCCACATGTTTTAAATTATTTATAAGTACATTATAACGTTTTAAGTGTCCAATTGTTGTAATTAAATGTGTTTTTGTGCCAATTGATTCTGATTTTTTCATTAAATTTAAGCATATTCTAATATTTTTTTTAATCAAATTTAACCAAATATTAGCCGTATTTTGGGAACAATTAATAAATTAAAGGCATTTTTTATCAAATTCAATGAATCGGTACTCACCCTAGACACTTCAGATTCTGACATTTTTTAAATTTTGCGGATCTCGATTTGGGGTGTTGGGCTTGTAGTTGTTTGCGAACTTCTTTTGACCCAGGTAGACTAAACCAAATTTTCCACCATTAAGGTTCTCCAAATTCTTTTCCACCACTTCAGACGTTTGGGTAGGAACACCTTATACTCCTCGAATTCAGCCAAAGGTATTTCACCAAATTTGCTTTTTACGATTTTGATTGATTTTATGGGGTATAGCTCCCCCTCAACCAATTCTTGAATCCTACGAACTTCTTTTTCAATCACGACTGCCACAGCATTAACTTTAGTTAAAAATGACATACTATAAGTAAAAAGGTATAAATAATTAAGATAAATAATATTAAATAACTTACTTTGTATGGTTATATGAAGTATCACACCCAAAAATAGTTTTAGTTGATAAACTTGTTAAACTTGTACTGATGTTATTTGCGATTTTGCAGACCTTTTATATCAATTAATTACGTCATAGGATGTTGATAAGAAGTAAATCAGTAACCGCAAACAGGATGTGAAATATTTAAGTAGGTCACATCGAATGTTCTAGGTTTCCGTTCCCTTATCTCTACACCTTTTCCAATTGTATTTCAGAAAGCGTCAAATGTATTTCAGAAAACGTCAAATATATTTCAGAAAGCGCCCAATGTATTTCATAATAGTCAAATGTATTTCGGAATGCGTTAAATGTAGTTCGAAATAGTCAAATGTATTTTAGAAAGCATCAAATGAATTTCAAAATAGTAAAATGTATTTTAGAAAGCGTCAAATGCATTTCAGAAAGTGTCAAATGTATTTCAGAATAATCAAATGTATTTCGGAATGCTTTAAATGTATTTCAGAAAGCATCAAATGTATTTCAGAATAGTGAAAATATATATTTTGGAAGCTTTTTAATTGATAGCATTTTAGTGTGTAAAGAATATACCTACAACATAAATTTATATGAGTATGAGTATGAGTATGGGAACGTATGGCAAGCCCCAGATATATTGTCATCCACTGATCTCCCGGGGTTATATTACCCCCTTTCCGTTCTCCTGCGTATCCCGCCAAATCACAGCATTACCTGTGTTTGTTGGATCCGAAGTTTTTACGCCGGCTGGTAGATCCACCCTAGGAGTTCGTGGATGACAGTGTCAAAGGTTAAGGCAGCTCCCGGGATTTTTGTCAGCCGGGTCGGGCCATACGTCCAGTTTAGGAAGGGTTTTTGGAGGACATTGAACTGACCCAAAACTAAGTACAATCCGGAATCCTCCTCAACCTAGGCCTTAGTAGTATCCCCATTCAATTGGTATTCGTGAATGGGGGTGGGTATGTTAGTTTTTTGCTTACTCCGGCTACCAACCTTGTATATTCTTTATTTATTTTATTGCTATATTAGTGTTCATACCGTTTTCATTTATTTATATCTTTGCCTTCTTACTTATTTTTTTTCAAATTAATTTAAAAATAAAAATATTAATATACAAAATAGATAAAGCCGGCCCTGTGGTGTATCGCATCAATATTTGAAACCCGGCCCCTATGTCAGGCGTGCAACGCATGCCTCAATAGATGGCCTACCACTTCATTTTCACGTGGGGGCTTTGCCCATTTACTTTCTCCATCCTCCAAGCTTTGCTTGCGTGAGCTTATGTGTATATTATATAATATATATAATACAATAATATAATATTGCGACGCACCCACTTGATTTCCCTTCACACACGCACGCTGCCCTCTGCAATGATCAATTGTTGCCTGGTTTCCTGTTAAATTAGTATCTATATAAATTCAATATAAATATCAATTAGTCAATACCAATACAAATACCAAATAATACAAATAATCAATACCAATATCAACCTCAACATTAATACCAACAATATTACCATCAATACCAATACCAATACGATTATATCAATATCAATCAATCAATTAATTTATTAATTAATTAATTAATCACTTTATGTAAATACCAATCTTCAAAATAGAGCCGGCCCTGTAGTGCATATATTGGAATGCGGCCTTATGGCCTGCTTGGCTCTTGAGTTCTGTGTATTAGTTTGGCTTTGATTTATGGGTGTGACCCTAAATTTATTTATGATAAATTTTTGTCTTCTTGCTTGAATTGGTTTATTTACTTACGCCTTTTACGCTGGTTGTTTACGTTTGTCTACTATGAGAAAATTAGGTTGTTTATTTAACAGTTACGGAAACAGTGTTGCCAACCCTACCGAATTTTCGGTAGATCTACCGATTTCTGAAAAATTCTACCGATCTACCGATAGACATCAATATTCTACCGAAAATCTAAATCTTGCAATAATCCAAATAAATAACGTTTTTTTAGATTAAATTGCATAAAAATATTATACTTAGACAACAGTATTATATATTTTTTATTTTTTTTTGTAGTATTTGATTAAAAATGATTTTACCAACATCATTTGTACAAAAGTCGCACTACGATGTCATGTAAAAAGTAAGCGGCGTTTGTTCTCTTGATTTATGTATATTATTAATTTTTTTGTGATTGTATTACAACATACAACATAAATTTATATAAACGAAAATTATTAAGTATTATTATTATTATTATATAAAAAATGTATTTACTACATACATATTAATATATATATTACATACATAGTTATAAATGTGGATGTGCATTCCAAAACTCGGCTTACCCATATTAGGTGATTTTGAGCAAAATGTCAAAAACTGTGAGTACTAACACATGAGGCGTCTACTTGCAATAGTGGCTACATCCTTATTTTATCAAAATTAATCTAACAGTAGAAAACCATATTATAAGATGTGCCTGTCACGTGATAAACTTAAATTATTTTAAAAGCGGTTAGATCCAGCTAAAAAGTACGTTTAAATTTTGGAATATTTTGCAAAAGCGGCCACATCCATTGTAGAGTTTGTTTCAGTAGCGGCTACTTCCAAATTACAGGTTTTTAACATCTGCAAAGTATCGCAGTCACCATATGTCACTGTTGTGTAAATATATATATTTACACAACAGTGGCAGTTTCACATTGAGGTGTATCAGCTAGAGGTGTGCCATAGTCAAAAATTCGACCATCGATATTTTCGATATGATAGTTTTGTGCTATCGATACATCTATATAAAGTTTTTACAGACTAGGAGGTAAAAAACTTTACCCGATTTCAGCCTAGACAATTATTCAGGGAGCCTACACAAGAAGTATGAACTTCATGTAAACAAATGGCTTCCCAAAATAAGAGGGCGCTAAAAGAGAAGTAGGGAATGTCTCAACTATGAAGCAGGCTGCATTCTTGTTAGTACAAAGGGACATTACATCTACATAAAAAGTTTGTACTCCTTGTGTACATAGTGTGATAATCAATCACTGTAACATTGTACTAAATGTTAAACAGTAAAAAAGTTTAAATAATATGTACATAAAACACTAAAAACCGAGGGGTAAACCACTGATTTTTTAAAATTAAAAATCGCTTACGAAATAACGGCTAAGGATAACAATAATAAGGGTAGTCATGCGCAACGCGTCGCTAAGCCCTGATTAAGCACCGATTAAGCACCGATTAAGCAAGTTTTCCTTATTGATAACGACTGATAAGGAAAAAAAACTCAACACAACGTCCACTAATATTGAACGTTGGTATCTAAGATTTTAAAGTGGATTACCTCTCGCTAAAAACAATTAAAAAGTTTGAAACAAATTCAGTATTTTTTTTCCTTTTTTTTAGTAGAATAAAATTTAAAAAAAATACAATTTATTAATATCAAGTTTTATAAACGCCATTTTAGTTACGAGTTTTATTAGGCACGAGCGAAGCTTGCGAGCGAGTGTTTAATAAAAAAGAGTGTCCAATTTTATTTATTAAAAATTCAACGGATTTAACCTCACTTTCCACTTTAGCCCGTGACTAAAATGCTCAAAAGCCACTGTTGCTAACTTCAGCCCGTGACTAAAACGCCATAAAGTCAGTCACAGCTTATTAATGGGGAGTAGATAAATATATTTAATGCGCATTCTGACTATTCTAAATACATTTGACGCTTTCTGAAATACATATGACGCTTTCTAAAATACATTTGACTGTTCTGAAATATATGTGACGCTTTCTGAAATACATTTGACTATTCTGAAATACATTGGATGCTTTTTGAAATACATTTGACTATTCTGAAATACATTTAACGAATTCCGAAATACATTTGACTATTATGAAATTCATTTAACGCTTTCTGAATTACATTTGACTATTCTGAAATACATTTGAGGCTTTCTGAAATACAATTGGAAAACGCGTTCTGAAATACATTTGACGCTTTCTAAAATACATTTGTCGCTTTCTGAAATATATTTATCCCGTTCTGAAATACATTTGACGCTTTCTGAAATACATTGGGCGCTTTCTGAAATACATTTGATACTTTCTGAAATACATTTGATTATTCTGAAATACAATGTACGCATTATGAAATACATTTGACTATTCTGAAAAACATTTAACGCTTTCTGAAATACATTTGAAAATTCTGAAATATATTTGTCGGTTTCTGAAATTCATTTGACGCTTTCTGAAATACAATTGGAAAAGGTGTAGATCGAAATTTTTGTATTGCTTATCTATAGGTGGTTAAAAACAACAGGATGTTGATAAGAAGTAAAGCAGTAACCGGATTTGAGGTTTTCTGTTAATTAAAATATTTGTTTGTTTGTTTGTAAAAATAACAATTTATTTATAATAAAAAATTAATAATATAAGGCGACTATAATTCAAAAGTGTGAAAAATGATTAGTTGTTAAGTTACTATCATTGAGTAAACATGTTTTCAGTAGCCAATTTTTTATTACTATCTACATTTATAAATAATACTTTATATGTAAATTTTCCCAAAAACACTCAGGATTGTTATGTGGCATTTAATGTTGATAATCCAATGGTAAAGACTCAATGGCCAAATGATTGGAATCCAATGGATGCAGCTCCTGGTACATTCAAGATTCAAGTTAATGCCTCAGCAATAAATTAAAATA